GGGGAGACTAATTCAACACAACTCGTTTTGGTTCTCGAATTTCAGAAATATTTTAATGGACCCCTAACAAGACAATACGACACCAAATCAAAGTAGAGAGAGAGAGAGAGAGAGAGAGAACTAACAATTAGGGATGACACAAGGCAAAAACTTGAAATCAGTATCATTTTCAGAACGAGCTTGTTTCCACCCAGCTTCACATTCACATACAAAACCAAAACTGGTATCGTTTGAAGCTCTGCAATTACCCTTTCCACATACATCTTCTTTACAAGCACCACCTGTCAAGTGTCAACCCATATTTAAACTTACAATCAAAACCCCTAAAAAATAACATCAAGAATCACATAAATATGAAAATCAAAGACACCCTGGTTGATAAAATCCATCAAATCCATATCCCGTTTCAAGAGATTGATAACATCTTTATCGCAAGCATCAATATCTAATCCAGCTTAACATATATGCCAAAATAATTGCTCCAATTTCTCAAATTCCTATCCCGTTTCTAAGGGGAAAAAGGCAATTCATAAACATCTTCTTTGCTAGTATTACCTATAAAAACCTCCAAATGCATGCTCGGTATACATTATCACGGCACAGTTCATTGAACAGGATTTTAGTGGACTGACTATATCTAATCCAGCTTACCAAATACCAGAATAATTACACGGAGAATTAAGTAATTATCTAAATAAAAGAGACCCCAGTTGATAAAATTCATTAAATCCCACTCTCTTTTCAAGAAGAATCAACCCCAAATGTAATCAACTCGTCTACAAGACAACGACATGGATTCATTTAAATCTATCTTCAACAATCACATAAATATCTAAATCAAAGACACCGGTTGAAAAAATTCATCAAATCCCACACCATTTTCAAGAAAACAAACCCCAAATTTAACCATTTTAAATTTTATCTTCAATAAATTTACATCGACAATCACGTGTAAATATACATATATATATATATATATCGAAAATAAAGAGAACCCAGTTGATAAAATTTATCAAATCAATGGGAAAAGTTTAGAAACAAACCGAAGATAGGAGACAAGAAGTTGCTGGAGACAGTCCCAGGTTGCATAACAAGAATGATCGTAAGAAAGGCAAGATTGAAAAGTGTAGACATATTGAAGAACTATTAACGAAGAAACTGATTGAAGTGAGATTTGGAGAAGAAATGGAAGTTTCTACTTCATTTATACGCGGATATCATACTGATGTATAAATTTGAAAGGCTAACGTGGCTCGATCTTTGTTCAAGTCAAACGTTATATGGGGTCGTTGGGAGTTGAGATGTGACTATTACTCTGCTTTCCCATGCCTTTATGTATCTATTAAATTCTTTTTGGTATCTTATTAATTAATTATTCATTTATTCCGGGCCTAATACTGATTTTTATTAAACTTTTCCACTTTTTTTAATGCGTCTTTTTATGCTAAATTCAGTGTTTTAGATTTAGATTTTTAGCTGGTGAATATTATTTTATAATAAATTAATATTTAACAAATTGAAGTATTAAAATATGATTTTTTTCCCCATATTTTGAAAAGCGAGTAAACCTTCAATACTGAAAATTAGTTAAATTTTTACCAATCATATATCTGGGTTTGAGCCTCCCCTGACGGGTGTAAGAGTAAACTTATAAATAAAAAATAAAAAAAATTGAGTGTACAAATTTTTGAAATTTTAGGAGCTTTATATTTAATTATCATATATTTTTATGCTGTTTCTTGTTGATGAAAATTAAGTTATGTGCGTAAATTTTATAGTGTGTGTTTATAACTAATTATTTAATTAGAGATAAGCAAAATAAATATAATAGTAATTTTTTTATATTTTCAATTATCTTGAAAAGAGAACCAACATGGTCATCATTTTCGAATATTTTTTGCCTCGATAAAAATTAAAAAAAAAAAAAGAAAAGAAAAGAATAAATAAGCAAAGTTTGAGAAAAAAATTCTATTGCATCAAAAGTCAAAGACTCCTATATAACAGCTTGTTCTGTAAACATAATTCCTACATTTAGCCCCTGTTTGACCCCCGTTATGTAGAAAAATTAATGGGTGAAATAGTATTTTTTTGAAAAATGAGTGGTTGAAAAAGAATGAAAAGTTTTCGATTTACGTATAATATTATTTTATGGTAAATTATGTGATTAAAAATAAGAGATAGAGAAATAAAATATAATGAAATTTAATGTAATGGTGCTCAAACGGGGTCTAAATATTTACCTACCAATTTGAAATCTAGATGAGCTGCCCCATGTAGAAATTTTTGTCACGGAACCATATTCATTTCGACACCGACCTCCAAGATTCTTTAGCATGATCAAGTTTTTGTCAGTTTGACGTCATCCCTCTAGTGGGACGGAGCTAGGACGTTTAATTTGTCAGAACGAAGAAATATGTTAAAGATATTGTAATATTGTTCTATTATATTTTTCCATTATGTAGAATTATTTTTTATTTAGGTTATTTTTTTTATTGTTATTCATAACCCTATAAATAGGTTTTCTTTTTTGTAATATTTACAAGACCATATTAATACAATTTATCTTATTCTTGACAATTATGATGGTTAGCGATGCTTCAACACAGATGAATTTGTGGTGGCTTGTAGCACCTACAACATTTGGTGACAATAGCAATAACTAGTAAAGATGGCAACTATTTCAAAATATCGAAGAGTAGCAAATGGAATCCAGAACGTTTTAGTTTTTAAAAATCAATCTGTTAGATTTTACGCTATAATTGACAATTCTTTGAACAAAAAGGACTAAACTGAATATGTGTAAAAAATCAATGAGTTAAAAATATTGTCTAGTTGGATAAGGTAATTTAGGGTCAGAGATCGAATTTGGAACAAGGAAGAAGAGATCCGCATTTTCTCTCGCCTCTCGCCAATACAATGCTTGAGCAAAAAAAAAAATAGAATGCCTCTTGCTTGCTTATCGTTGCCGCTTCAGTCGAGCGAAAATGCCCCTTCGCTCGAGCGACAATATTATCAGGCCAACCCTAGTTCGCGATTTTGAAAAATTTTACACGACCTATAATACCTAAACATCCCTAACTATAAATATTCAAGCCTTGCATGATTTACTCTGTGATTGTTCATTATGTCTCTACTTCATATCATATTCATAACATCCTTTGGTGATCCAAGACCTTGCTCATGCATTGATTTAATCATTTGAGTCTTGAGATCCCGTAACCACATATTTGAGGAAAACATCAAATCCTTAAATCTAAAACACTTGACTTTTTTAACACTTTAAGTAAGGTACTTTTTCAGTTGGACATTGGAGATGTAGACTGCAAGTACAAGAGAAGCACAAGAATTGGTGATTCTTAGAATTCTACATGGAAGAGACAATTATACAAGATTGGAAAGTTGGAAGAGACAGCGGTATCTTGGAGATTACATGAAGTAGATCGGGAAGTCTAGTGGAATTGACTAGACCACATCTAACTATAACATCCATTGTCTATAGTGGAGATAATTGACTTGTTTCCGAAGTTTTTACCCAATTGGGGTTTCACCATCAACAATACTGTTGTCATTACTATTTCATTATTTATTGCTTGTGGCATTTAAACATAGGATAATTGGACTTGTATGATTAACCATCTAGAAACAATTAATAAACGATTTGTTGCTTTCAATTGTAAATTCCACGCGTAAGATCAAACTAGTAAACAATCTAAAACGCATAATTTGATAATCAAGAGCGTTTCGATAGTTTCAAACAATCTTTGATAAAA